ATTTATCATGCGGTATTTACAGACAGTGTTGAGTCACAAAATCCAAATCAATGTGCAAAATGTGAAAAAGCTTTAAAAACCAATAACATCTGGATATACTGCCAAACCCTGATGGCTCTAAATAGCAGCGTACTACTCAGCAATTAAGCACATGGACTTATTTGAAAGGCAGTTGCATTAAACAGCTTTCAGCTCAATGCTAAATGGCTGTTTATGGACAGGAAATTGAAAAGCAGAATCACTTACTGTAGCAGCGACTGGAGAGTCTATTAGCATGGAGAGAATGGAGTAGCTTATTTTGTTAAAGCCCATAATATAGACAAATTGGCACATTACAATTAATTACCACTAACAATAACAAAAGCACTGTAGATAATGAAGTGTAATGGCAGGTAGCGCATGGCAGGTATCAATTAGACTAATAGAACAAGGAACAACCAACTGCTGATTACCTCTTTAACACTGACATTAGCAATACAATATTATTTTACATTATATCTATTGTTCTGTGAGTCAATACAGCAAGCAAGACTCTCTTTCCTTCTCATTTGTTTACCAGCTGTCCTCTCTCACTGACTGGAGGCACCATATGGCATCAGAACAACACACACACACACACACACACCACACACACACACACACACACACCACACACACACACACACACACACACACACACACACACACACACAACCACACACACACACACACACACACACACACACACACACAACACACACCACACACACACACACACACACACACACACACACACACACACACACACAGAGAGAGATATAACAATAATGTACATTCACATATGCATTCTGTATATTCAAAGACAGACGCACACACGCACATTTTGAACACAATCTCCCCAAACACTACCATCTCTATTCGTCAAAAGCAGCCCTCATGACGCTCTGATCATTTTTGGGAGTTTTATCAGTATAAGTCGCTTGACAACGAACATTCCCTCTCACTAATTGGACATGTGAGGACATCAGAAAGATATTTGGAGAAGTTGACTATGAAAGATTGGGACCACATTGTTCTCTGTCTGGGTTATAGCGCAGTGCAGATGCCTCTCGGTGACAGACAAAGGTAGAAAATGGACTGACAATGAGTCTTTTACTTTCCAGTGGCAAATGAAGTTTATAAAAAGACTAAAATGCAGACGGAGAGATTCTGCTGTGGACAGCGTGGCGAAGCATGTGGACTATGCATGCTCCTTTTAACTAGCAACAGAGGGGAGGCTGGATACAGAGAAAACTATTTGAGGCACAATGTTTCACCATTGGGATTGAAATTGTCAACATAATTATCGCTCTAGATACAAAAAGGTAGTTATTGTAGGTCAGGAGCATTAGGACTTGTTTTTATCCCCACTAGATGTAGTTTGATAAAGTCAATTTCTTCCATCCAATGTACAATTAAAGTACTCTATTAGTTAAAGGGATAGTGGAAATGGAACCTCAAATAGTTTCGTTTTAACTTATATACAAGCATAATTACGTACCAAAACAATCACACCTGATTAAAAAAATATAATAAATGCCTTACGCATGTTAGAAGCACTTTATTGCAGCTTCCCCGAAGTTTTTTAGAAACGAAATGTTCGACTCAGCCAAACCGGAAGTGACGAAAACTCAGGAAGACGATACGATAACAAACCATGGCGTCTATGCAGAATGAACGTGGAAGGGCAAATATACCAGACAAAGAAGAAGGATTGTACGAGGTATCCAGTGATGATAGCGAGTCAGAAACATCCTCTCGGCTTTCCTACGAAAATGTCGTTTTAGGAACTGAATCTGAATCCGGTTCAGTAAGCGACGATGGTGACAATATTGAGCCAGACGATGGACCATTACGTCCTTATTTGTTCGAGCCCGAGCCCGAGGTGATGGTTCACGGCATGGGCAATGGCGAGGATGACCAGGACCAGGCGCCAGATGATGCACCCCTACGCACAAATAATCTTGACTGGTAGGTCCCTAAGCATAGCTCACGCATCTTAAGATCACCTGTAGCCTTTACAAATATTAATCATTGTTAACCAGTTAAGGCCGAAGGTCCCCCCAGTGGACCCCTCCCACAGTTTTTTTTTCTCTCACATGTCTCAGGGCTTCTTAACATTTATGAAACTATTAATGTTTCATACCCTTTTAAAGGTAAGAAACTCCGCTAACTGACAATAAGAACAATTGTTAGCTAGAAAAAACACAAGCGTAATACCAAGCCTTTGAATTAGCATTGAGCGAAACAATGCTAACTAATGCTAACGCTTTTTTACACACAACACACGGTAGAAATGCCCTTATTACTATCTTAACTGCACAAACAAGATATACGATTTAAAGCTGAGACTCCACAGATGTAATGTCATCACTGTAAGACCTCGAATTCCTGGAGCTATCAGCCAGAAAAGAGAAAGTAAACAACATCCGGTTCCAAAAATATTACAATAATTACGTCTTACCTTTTTTGATTTGTGATCAAAAGTTGTGTTCAACGGAATAAAAACGCATCTCAAGGTTAATCCAATGTCGTTGTGTCACGTAGAATTTTTTACTGATAATCAATCATCATATTTATGGCAATATACTCGGTATAAAGTATTGACACATCTATTCACCATAATAAAGGTCGGCTATTCACATGCAAATGCTATTGAATGTCCGCCATTGTTTGTGCCCGTCTTCCTATGCTCTCGTCATCACCCGAAGATTCCCGACGATTCCCGAAGTATTTCGTTTCATTGAGAGGGCGCAGTAAAATTGAAAATAAAATGAAACTAGGCGCATGAAATTAAAAAAAATTGTTTATTATGCTTATTTTTAATAAAAATACATAAGTTAAACCCAAAATTCGCGGATTTCCACTATCCCTTTAACTATGAATCAAACCCATTACCTAATTAATAAATAATGAATGCACCGTATAAACCCTTTATAAAGACTGACTTACTGGAAAGTGGAGAGATGCTATACTTGGTAGAAAATATACAATATGTGGGATTCTGTCCTAGACCTTCATAGGCGGTAAGACTACACACAAAACATTTCTCTTCAAATGGAAATCATGAACTGTGCAAGGTCACTTATTCATTTATGCAGCAAATCTCAAAGAAAACCTTACTACACATCGTGCAGTTTGACCTCCCTGAACACACAGCTCAGCTCACACATGTACATTATTAATATTACACTGTCAACAACAGTCATTCACCGTGCAATCAACACACAATGCCAGCCAAAAGAAAAGCAAGGTTACATCTGGAATTGCTGAAAAAGTACAATTCCTTAGAGCTACAAGGTACAAGGTTTACTACAATTGTAAAGAGGGGGGGTGTATCCTTTTCTGTAGTGTGTTATATACTGTAGGTTTCTGTGCATGTAAATGGTCTGCAAAAGCTAAAATCCTTAAGTTTCTCTCCCACACTCTCGCCTGGACTCCTTTGTTTACTTCTGTAACAAAGTGACATCACCAGGTAACACTCGTGCTTCTATTGGCTAGTGCTCCAACACATTCTACGTGATCGAATGACATCTCTAAGCAGTTGAAAAATCACAGCAGAGCCAGCCAGGGAACCAATCAGAGCAGACTGGGCTCTGGTTTCAGACAGAGGGTGAAAAGAGGTGCTGCAGCACAGACAGTATGAGAAAAATAAAGAGCTTTTTGAACATTGAAGCATGGAGACAGTCACAGTAGAGACACAAAATACAAATATAAACCTGAAAATGAGCTTAATACTGTATCTATTTTTAAAATATACTTGATAATAACTCGTAAATTCAGCTGTGGGTGGTTGAATACAGTCCGAATGTATTTAAGTGAGGCTGCATGGTGAAAAGACGATATTTACTCTGCGTCACCACATGACAGCTTAGCCTGAAGTTGTAAGCAGCAAGACAGAGAGGCGTCTCATTAGAGCTGGGTTGGTAAAGAAGCTCACAGCTAATGGAACAAGAATGTCACTCAGATAATAAATGTGGTGCGGACAGAGAGCTAGATGGACAGCGAAACAGAGCACTTTAAAAACTGTTAATGAGCAGCGAGTTCTGTTTTCATTGGGGACGGGTGACCTGATTTATTTTCCAAATAGTCAGTTTTAACAATCACAACCAAAATAGTGGCTTTATTTTTAAGAGAAGAGCTTTTATCCACATATGAAATTGCAAAATAAGGTAAAAAGTGTTGTTTTAATCATGCAAAGGTCGTGAAACATAGTCATACTCATCATGTCGTACTTATTAGGCCAAAATGCTGGTCAACTTTAAAAACAGGTTTGACCTCACAAGATTTATGGAGGTACAATTCAATGTTTTGATAAATAATGATAGTTATTTCCATGTTTGTGTTCAGAAACACTGAACTTGGCAACACTTCCACATGCATCTGAAGCCAGTAACTTCAGCATATTGACATAAAGAATAAGCATAGTTGTGCTTATCATCAACGTGACGTTTCAGGTTCAGTGTGTGTGTGTGTGTGTGTGTGTGTGTGTGTGTGTGTGTGTGTGTGTGTGTGTGTGTGTGTGTGTGTGTGTGTGTGTGTGTGTGTGTGTGTGTGTGTGTGTGTGTGTGTGTGTGTGTGTGTGTGTGGCCTAGCATTACTATACTTGTGGGGACCTAAATCTGTTTACACAGTCACGTGTGGGGACTCGCCTCCCTTATGGGGACATATTGGAGGTCCCCATGAGGGGAATCATTCATTTCAGGGTGAAGACTTGATTAGGGTTAGGGTTAGGCGTGTGTTGGTTATGGTTAAGGTTAGGATAAGTCTCCAGGAAATGCATGTAAGTCAATGTAATGTCCCCTGAAGTGATGTGTGTGTGTGTGTGTGTGTGTGTGTGTGTGTGTGTGTGTGTGTGTGTGTGTGTGCATGTGCGTGTGTGTGTGTGTGCATGTGCGTGTGTGTGTGTGTGTGTGTGTGTGCGTGTGTGTGTGTGTGTGTGTGTGTGTGTGTGTGTGTGTGTGTGTGTGTGTGTGTGTTACCTTTCACAGCGTGGTCCTGTGTACCCGGGCTGGCACTGGTCACACAGCAGATCCCCCTCTCTCCCGAGTTGGCAGGTGGGGCTGAAACTTTCGTAGTTGCCGAGACGAAGTTGTTGTTGTTGTTTTTGTTGGAGTTGTTGATAATTCCGGTAGCGTTGTCCCAGTGTGGAGAGAGGGATGAAGAGGAGGAGGAGGGAGAGCAGAGGACAAAGGCGAGTTAAGGCCATTGTTTGTCTACACACACACACACACACACACACACACACACTTAAACTTGTGTCACTACTTTCACTTGCCAATCCTCAAATTCACACTCTGTAGGACACACACATTTAATTCCTTCCTCTCACACCCACATGTCTGTACTTCCACACAATTTGAAAACACTCTTCCTCTCTATGAACTGAAAACCCAAATGAACTGAAAGAGAGGGAGAGTAAAACGATAGTCTCTCACCCTCGTTCTGTCGCCCTCCCACTTCCAGAAACTATAGATAGTTGTGCTGGCTCGGGTTCCCGACTGACTCACTGGCTCACTGAGCTACAAGTGAGACTGCTTGGCAAAAGCATGAGAACAACAAAAAACTTTTAAATAAAATTAAACTTTTGGGCAATTGTTAAGTCAAGCTGTTCAGTGACGTTTCTAAATATATAATTTGGGGGGGGAGATGATGTGAATTAAGAAAATGTGTGAGGAAAAAGGACACTTTTCAGCCAAAACACACATTCATGTAAACGATTAAATGTGATTGACTTTATATGCAAACAAAGTCAAATACATTACATGTGGAACATTGTTTTTCCAGTGTATGTAAGACGCTTTGGATAAAAGTGTGAGCAAAATATGTATATATATATATAGATATATCAGGTGACAAATAGCAACACAATCTCAAACGACTAAAAAATCATTAAAGACTGAGACACAAACAGAACGAAGTTGAAAGGTGCCGCTGCCAATGCGGCACAATCATCCAAATGAGTTACTCTAATAATAGACACTCTTGAATCTTGTTATCTACATCTGATCCAGATCTACATCAAAAGAAAAATAATAATAGACTATCATGCAGACTTTTGGATAATATCTAAATCCTGGGAGTATTAGGGCTTCTCACAGGGATTAATTGCACATTTCAAGTAATGAAGACCTGAATTTCATTGGGTACAGCTGAGAGGAATACTCTATATTTATAGTATTGAAGAGAGACTGAGAAATAGATGTTATTTGGTGTGAAGGGATTCCAAAAAGAACATTGTTTTAACCAGACTGACAATCAAAGTGCAAGACACCTCTGAGCAAAAGTTAAAGGGGACCTATCATGCAAAATGCACTTTGTGATGTCTTTTATACATAAAGATGTGTCCCCGGTGTGTCGGGGAACTCACGCAGCGTCAGAAAATAAAACCCTCTCTCTTTTCCTCCGTACCCAAATCTCTAAAAACGGGGCTACAACGGAGCTGATCCAGATTTGCGTCCGATATGATGTAATATCGGAAATGTGGACCCACGGCCCTATCAGAAACGTTGCTATCAGAAACAATGCCCGACTGTTTTGGACGTAATATGGTCGGTGTTTACATTAGCATCGCTAACACTCAGAGCTAACCTGTTCTGGAGAGCATGTGTGTGAAGAAGCAGGATATAAAAAGGAACTCACCTTGTGGTATAACCGGCAAGAGAGAAAACCTTTGAGCTCCATACTGTTTCAGAGAGAATCCTTGATAATCCATGATATGGCGTTTCATCACGGCAGTATTTAGTTTAGACAGTAGCTGCCGAGTCCCGCATGAGCTCAGCCCCCTCCTTTTTTTTTAATCAATGTTTACTTTTTTAAAGCTTTATACCCAAAATCAGCACTTTTGAAACAGGAAGTGAAATAGAGCGATATGAGGCATGGCTAGAATGGGTGATCTGTTTGGTATTTTGAGCAAAACACTTCATAGACATGTTTTTTATATATCTGAGACCTATGCTATTGCCTAAAAATAGCATGATAGGTGCACTTTAAATCAGAATACAAAAAGAAAAACTGGAAGCTTAGAATTGAAATCTGATGAGATTTAAATAGGAACATGTTAGTATTTCAGTGTCAAGTAAGGAATAATGCCACAAGCTAGATTTAGCAGGTGTGGTGCTTTAAAATAGAGATATAAGGTGGGTGTAGGGTAAACACTATTGGAATTAGATCAGGGATGAATATAATATGTGCTTCAAATCACAGTTTTTAATGTATTTTTGACCAATGAGTAAACTGCAGGGAGTTTAAAGAAAAACAATGTATTTTTGACCAATGAGTAAACTGCAGGGAGTTTAAAGAAAAACAATGTATTTTTGACCAATGAGTAAACTGCAGGGATTTTAAAGAAAAACAATGTATTTTTGACCAATGAGTAAACTGCAGGGAGTTTAAAGAAAAACAATGTATTTTTGACCAATGAGTAAACTGCAGGGATTTTAAAGAAAAACTACAGCCGTGGTTTTGTGGCTCAATCATGATCAAGAGTCAACAAAATCTCCAACTCCGACTCTCCAATGTTTTAAACAATGTGGTGACAATGGCTGAATTGAAAGTGTAAAATAAATATTTTGTCTGGATTATACTGTTTTAATTCATGTTAAAATAGCCAACAGGTGACTTCAAACTTTGAAATTGAGTATAAAGATGTGTATGTCTGAGAAGTTCACAAAGAATATTAACCATGACGTTTTTTCATGTGTAAAATATGACAGTATTTTTCCATCCTTTACAGTTTTTCTGGCCACAGTTGTGTTGATTCTGCCAGCAGAGATGCCATTTCCACCAACAGGCATGATGTTTCTCCACTTACTGTATATTGATGCCTCTTCCTGTGGTGTAATATTTCTAATCATGCCATAACAATTATAATCCTACCCACAGCGATGAAGCCTCTATCTGTGGTGACATTCTTAAAAGATACAAAGAAAAGTAGTCTGAGTGTCAGGAGAAGAGAACATGTAAAAGAGGGCACTGGTGGGTCATAGATTTAGTTTCAAGAAGGCAACAAGTACAGAAATAAAGCTACAACTTCAACTCAAAAAATATATTTTGTCCATTCAAGTATCTTCTTTAGCACATTGGGAAAGATTGGCTGACAGTCTTGGAAACTTTTTTACAGTTAAATCTGTATTGGTACGAATCATTAGGATCTTTGTTAAGGGATAATTGATTAAGTGTCTATAACTATACTACCCTAAAATGTTAAGTAGATTTAGATCTAACTAGAAATGGAACAAAAAAGACTCCTTGAAGTGAAGTTCCTCAGCCTGAATGTTTATAAAGAGGAACAGCTCTCCAGAACTAAATTGATTTCTGCTAATCTGCTGTAAATCAGATTAAATGTTTAAATTCATATATGACTTTATCAGATGTTTGTAAGAGCTTAACCCTTACAGCTAACTGGAGCAGTCTGACTGTCTGGCTATTCTAGGGACTCGCCTCTGTGAACATAACGGACTAGGTGGCTATTTTGAGGGGCTGAAAGGCACGGCACCTTCAAGCTATTATTACTGCAGGGGGGAGAGGGAGGGGGGAGGGTAGAGACAGAGAGAAGGAGGGGAGGGTAGAGACAGAGAGAAGGAGGGGAGGGTAGAGACAGAGATAGTTGTGTCTTTCTTTAGCTCGGAGAGTTTAGGATAGGGCATGACTGCAGGAGGATTCTCAGCTGCTGCTGCCTGTGTGTGTGTGTGTGTGTGTGTGTGTGTGTGTGTGTGTGTGTGTGTGTGTGTGTGTGTGTATGTGTGTGTGTGTGTGTGTCATCTAATTCAACCAATGATTATATATGGGTCTACTGGTGACAAAAGACAGATTTACATCCAATTATATTGCACAACTAATTTCAAGTAAAATTTGAGAAAGAAAATTCCAATGAATGCTTGTTTCTTCTTTATACTTTTACCTTTTGACCATTGGGAAAGAGACGTCTGTAAATCAGCAGAATTTTTTTAAACTACACAGTGCAAACAATTTCATAGCCCTTATTTAAATAATTTGGGTCTAAAAGTTGTAAAAATGCACTAAAGCCGAATCCAGTGTTACTTTGTTACCCTTTGCATTTGACTGACCCGAGAATGGGAGATTGTGCGCCCTCTCTATGGGCGAACATACGGGTAGTTTGCTCTCGAGAGGTCGGCCATTTTGCCTTCATGCGCCACTGAGAAACTTTCATAGGAATGAAATGGGTCCCGCCTCCAAGGCTGTATTGAGTTCTCTTCATACATCCACAAAATAAACCTGGTGGAGTGACAACAATGACCATCTTCCATGCCAACAAAGGATGCCCAGGACAGGCCAGCAATGGATAGACAATGAACACAATGGGGTGTTAATTAGATTATTTCTGCTCAGCAACGGTTTAAAAATATGTAATGAGTGGAAAACATGTTTTTGCACAGCTGGCACACACCAGCCTTACACACAAGGTCTGCATACTTCCTAGATGAACCATAATCACACAGAGCCTTGCCTCTTACCTGGGCTGCTTCTATGAAAAACAGAAGATTGCTTATTTTTTAGAAAACATATTTTTGAAGATACTCGCTGTCACTTGAACAACCATAATTTGAGACAGTGAAGCCTGTACAGCACAAGTGATATGGTGAAAGATTTTAAATGCCTTAATTACATGTGGGAGGTGTGAGTTTGCTACTGTGTTAAGTTGTCTGGCCGCAGTGGTGAGATTTCTACCCACAGGGATGATGTTTCTCCACTTATGGAGATGCTTCTACCTGCGGTGATAATATTTATATTCATACCTTGACAATTATATTTCTACCCACAATGATGAAGCCTCTATTTGTGGCGTTATCCTTTAGAGACGAGCAGTTTGAGTGTCAGGAGAGTATGAAGAGAGAGGGGTCGAGAGGAGAAAATGGGGGCCAGCTGCAATAGATTGAGGTGTATTTTATTAAATTGTGTCGTTACGGCGCCATGAGACCTGTAACCTACTTGTTACTAGGAAGATTGAGCGGGCAGGCGCAGGGCTGGCAGTCCGCAGGTGACCCACGGGTGGCGTTGCCATAGTAACCTGGTAGACAGGTGTCACAGTGAGGGCCATAGGTGTGGTGGGAGCAGTCCTGCAGGAGACACACAGGTTAAAAGGTAATTATATATCAGGAAAACCAATACACTGTTAAACAAACAACCCTGATCAGTTAACCTTTGTGTCATCAGAAGATTTTCTTTGTGTTAATATTGTCTTCATTCATGCTTTAGGTAAGAAATAAATAATATACCATCAAATGTGTTTGTGTTTTGTTCACATAAGAGTTTATTTTGGGCGGTGAAGTTATCTCTGTCTGTTCGATTGTATTGGTTTCATAACATCTCTCAAAAATAGAAAGTTGCCTTTTTTCCTGAAGATTTGTCTTTTCTTTTTTATTCTATATTTTTGTAAAGTGTACCTTGCAGCAACTTTAGCGTAAAAATGCTTAACATCGACAGGTTTAACTTCATAAAAAACACCATTCACTGATATATATATATTAGCCTTTTGTTGAAATAACCTTTTCTTTAGGGCGGTGAAGTTATCTTGGTTTAGAGAGATTTCATTAAACCTTAATATACTAAAAAGACAGAGTTGCCGGGTTTTATTTTTTGTATTCTTAATTTTTAAGTAGGCTACAATGAATACGGTATACTTTTCCCCCTGTAAGTTAACCTGGAAGCACCAAATGCTGAATACAGACAGGTCTAACTACAACAACAGTAAAATGAGCCACAAATAAAATCAATGTATAGATAAGTGTAGAATGCACGTTGGGACCGTGAAAATAAAAAAAACAAAGGGCTAACGATTGACCTGCATTATTTTAGAGTAATTAGTGTCACACGTTGCTTCTAGAGGGTCAAATACTAAATAGGCTCAAGGGTTACGGCACTGCAATAAGAAGAGCAGACACTGTGTGACACATTTTATAACAACAAAACTGCTCTTATTAAATAAAGCTGTCCCATCAAATCATCGTCAAACAGAGCGCAGCAGGAGCAACAATCTCCACCAGGTCAAGGTTAATTTGACCTGTTTGAATTTGTTCAGGATGAGCATCACATTTGGTTACCATAGTAACCAAGCACATGCTGTTTCACAGGTAGATCCTCGAAAAAACAATAATGTCCCCGAGAACCGTTTTGATGAGTATTACAGTACATTATACCTACTTTATTGCTCAATATGCACCATGAGGAATAATAAATAAAAAAGTGAAATGAGAGCAAATAGTCATAATAAAGAAAAGTTAATAGTTTTTTGAAAATGTGTAAAATTGTACATTTAAATCTCACATTTAACAACATGTTCTGACTTGCTTGCAGCGCTGCTTCCACCAGTAAAAGTAATTGAATTAAAAACATGTCTTTAACATAACTTTATAGGGGTCTGATACAGAATAAAAACACATTATAAGTGTGTGTGTGTGTGTTTGTGTCTGTGTGTGTGATGTATGTATGTGTGTGTGTGTGTGTGTGTGTGTGTGTGTGTGTGTGTGTGTGTGTGTGTGTGTGTGTGTGTGAGAGAGATCCTAACTGACAACTTCAGCCTGAGGCAGTGTGCAGTATTGTAGATGTAGAGGGACTGTGTGTTTGCTGTAACACATGAAAAGGTTGGCATGTATGTGTTTACACATTACACTAACATGTGTATTGGACCATGTGTGTGTGTGTGTGTGTGTGTGTGTGTGTATATAAAAGCAGGACACGTGTTTAATCCTACATTTCCTTTGATGACCACTAGATGGTGGATCCAAGAACATTCTATCAAGAGGTGACTTTACGTAATTTCACTGTAGAAAAATATTCAATATTTCAATATGTGTATTTTTTCCACATGTTTTTCCAGGTTCAAAGGGTTAATTAATGTTGCTCTGATTTCAGGCATACAATAACATAAAGAGGAAGGGTCCTTTTTAGGCTTTTATGGAAGTCCACACTGGTTAGCGCTCATATTGCAGACACTACTATATTTTTCAACAGTTTTTGGGAACTCTCAATTATAAACTGACCAATACATGTGAGCAACACAGGGTTTTCTAAACAATGGATTGAAATTGTTTGAGTCGTTAACCTGAAAATGTTTTTATTTATGTCAACATGGGAAAGATTACTGTTTAAAACATACTGTAAAAAAGAAATGTCAGGTTGTTTTACTCTGAATGAAACATGCTAATTATTATACCTTGATGTGATGAATGGCAGCTTTATGAGTTAAAGGAAGCTTAGAGAGAATAAAGTGTTGCATTCAATCCCAATACAGGCATGAACATATAATGCTGTAACTTAACATATTCTAACATTTTTCAAAGTATGCTTTTCTTTCCATCTTCGTATTATCGTTTGACATTCTGAAAATATCAAAAGTAATCAAGCCTTTTCATTTTCTGCTCCCAACACTCGATGTCTGGTACCAATTTTCCTGGAATAAAAAGACCCCTTTATTATGTCAAAAAACGATTTATGAGACAGAGTAAAGCCGAGTGAATAACTACAGTGTGGTTTTGAGCACTGATTGAAACACATAACAAATGTCTTAATCAACGTATCGATCATCTCACCAGGCAGTGTCCTGTGACCTCATGGCATTGTGTAGCGTGTCCGTGGCAACGACAAGCTTCACACACACCGCTATACAGATTCCCGTTCACCCTTCGGAAACCAGGAACGCATGTCTGAAACACACACACACACACACACACACACACACACACACACACACACACACACACACACACACACACACACACACACACACACACACACACACACACACACACACACACACACACACACACACACACACACACAGTAAGAGAGACGGACAGAGTCTTAAAGCTGCTGTAGTGTGAAGTGTTTACCCTGTGATCCTCTAATTAGCACCTCAAGTGTGTGTGTGTGTGTGTGTGTGTGTGTGTGTGTGTGTGTGTGTGTGTGTGTGTGTGTGTGTGTGTGTGTGTGTGTGTGTGTGTGTGTGTGTGTGTGTGTGTGTGATTATGTCTGTTTGTATGCTTGAGTTTTTAAAACCCCCGATGTGCATTTGTGTGTCATTCAATAATAACGTTCAGCTGCAGTCTGACACTAAACACTTTTATGATGCTCGCATTTCATGTTCAGCTTTGCTTAACAGGCTTTAAAAGAAAAAGAAAACTCGGATGATCTTTTATTTCCTCCCATAATCATACAAAGTAATACAAAAGAGAATCTGTTATACTTAAATACAATAAATCATACTGGTGTGTTTGTATTTGTATTTTAAATAATTCAAAGCAGCACGTTTCGGCTCAAAGTCTACAGCAGATCTGTTTCCAAACACAAATATCGCTTGGTCCCCTTTCTTTATTAAACTATGGGATACAATACACTTGCAAAGACTAAGAAGTTGCTTGATGTTTATATAGTTTAAATTAGACCTAACTCTAAAGTATCATCAAAGTATTTGGGATAGTATTGCTTGATGTAGAGGAGGTTTTAAAGGGGCCCTATTATCCACATTTCCTGGTTTAAAAAAGCCCTTTATTTTGCTCATAATGCCTGAGCTGCAGCAACTCTTTTCATCCTCTGTTTGACCCAGTCTGCTCGTTGGGATTTCAGCCTCAGCAGACCATTTACATGCACAAAAAGCTATATAACACACATCAGTCAGTGTGTTTCTATGTTTACCTCACAGGAAGTTCCAGCATATCCAGGAGGACAGGAGCAGCTCTCCACTGCCGCTGCCCTCCTCTCTCCTCCAGCAGAGGGATTGGCTACCTCCATAGAGAATGAGTGGAGTCTGCAAGTATACAGAACAGAAACACACAGAACAACTATGTGAAATATCAAGCATTGAGACATTGAATACATACTTTACCTCTTGCATAGGCAGGGCTACTCGGCTGATTAGACAATTACAAGTTTGACAGTATGACCTGAGTTCATTCTCTCAGGCAGAATTTACTCAGAGACAGCTGTGAGTTCTATAAATTAAACTGCCCCCTTTATGCTTTGTAGAAGAAGGTTAAAGTAGGGTTATTCACACAATTTAACATTTAACTAATATTTGTGAGACTCAACTTAGGGCAAGTTGTTTTCTTTCATAAAGCCAATACTAATGTGTCTGCAAGTTTACTAATCAATACTTAATATATTACGTGTTGGAGCATTGTGTAAATCAGGGGTGTCAAACTCAAATACACAGTGGGCCAAAATAAAAAAATCAGTACCAGTCGAGGGCCGGACTGGTTCAATGTTTATTGCAAAACTTATTGAAATGAACTTATTGCACATATTAAACCTGGAACTAACAAAGCTTAAATGATTGCCTATAAAAACAACATTAAATAATCAGTTGCATTAATTTCTTATGGCTCTATCTGCAGACTCATTTCCTATGATTACATTTTCCCACAGGCCAACAATAGCTTAAAAAAGAAAAAAACAAACATGCCCTGTTGTCTCAAGAAAAAAAGTGCACAAGGAAACATCCATGTAAACTCAGTGTGCTGCTCTGTGATGCTAGTTCAAGCCAGATACTTGGCGTCTCATCTCGGGTGCAAGTTCATCAATGTTTGGGGTCAGGCTCTGAGCAGAGGAGACCCTCAGGATGGAGTGAAGGTGTGCGTGCAATATACCAGCGGGCCAGATCTAATAGTAATTAGAAATTATCCTGCGGGCCGAAATTAAATCCCACTAAATGATATCCTCCTGCCTGATTTGGCCCCCGGGCCTTGAGTTTGACACATGTGGTGAAAAGGCTGTGTGAAATGACCCTATTATTATGAACATTTGTTTAGTATTTAGTAATAAAAGAGAAGAGTTATATGCACAAAAAGTCCACAAACTGCTATTACCAACTGTTTATTATGAAAGTAAATACTTGCCATGTGACAAAATCAACAAAAAAATACAAATCTAAAACACAACCTGCTGCTTTTGACCCCTAATAATCATCTTTGGCACTCGAAAAAACAGCAGTATCACATCATATTACATTTGTTGGAATGTTACAGGTACAAATAACAATAATGAGTTATTACCTTTGACCTAATGTACAGTAAGTAACTATGCCTGTCAGTGTGTGTGTCTGTCTCTGTGTGTGTGTGTGTTTCTACCTGTACACAGCGCTTGTCTCTGTGCTATAAGAGGCCCGCACCATCACTCTGGTCACGTTGGCCAACACTGACAAGAAATCCCTGCGACCGATTGGCTGAGCGGTCTCTGCAACCAGGAAGTTAGCGGGTGAAAGAGGAATGTGATTGGTGCTTGGCGATGACGGGTACACCGGTTGGCCGAACCTTCTGTCAATAATCTTGATCCCGCCTCCCTGGCAGAGACAGAAGAAAAAACTTGTGTTCATCTTTTTCTTTGTTGCAGCTTATTTTTAATTGCATACATCTAGACAGGGGATATTCTCCAAAACATAAATAGAGTATGACACCTCCTTTAGAGGAATATGCATCTGACCTGCAGAAAAAGAGACAGTGAGAGTGAATGATGTGTCATTAGGTAATGAGCTGCAGTCTCTATTGACAATTTGAATGGACTGAATGCAAAGTGAATTGAGCTGGAGCCTGGTATCTGACTATCTCTTGTTGAGAAGAGATCAATGGCATGTAGCGGCTAACGCAGAGTGACAACTACTTATGGAGAGAGAGAGAGAGAGAGAGAGAGAGAGAGAGAGAGAGAGAGAGAGAGAGAGAGAGAGAGAGAGAGAGAGAGCTCACCATGCCAATAAACCATTAAATAAAAATTAATTGAAAGAGAGGCGATGGAGGGAGAGATAAAGGCTGAGAGATGCGGAGATAAAGACGGAAAGAAAGAGAGACACAAAGAAAAGAGGCAGATTGACAAGAAAAAAAGACAAAGTCACCTCTGAGGAAAGTGTTTTCATTAAGTTTCTGAAAGAGAGGCCATGTTTTATTGTCGCTTACTTCTAGTAATCACATCTTTAAAAAATATCAATTAAACGGATAAGGTTTAATTTGGAAGGAAATTCCAAGAAAAGACAAAAAAACATTGCATTGTTGCCTTTAGCTTTCAGGTTAAAGTCTATTCATTCCTCTAAATTATGTGCAGTAAAATATACAATAGTTTTATTTTTAAAAAGGAAAAGCAGCTGGGCAAGTTTTAAGCAATCAATACTGACAGAGAACACTTGTTTGGGACTATTTTCAGCTGCAGATTTATACACATTGGTTGCGCATCACTGGGCCACATTTAATTGGAAACACAGACAAAGGGATACATTAAATGTTGCTTTTGGTCTTTTTGGGGTAAACACGTTTTAATTAAATAGGAAGTATTGAGTAAAACCTAAACGAGAGGTAAGATAATTGTGTTTATATTTCTTTCAACCTGATTCTAAATGGTCCTCGAGAAAGCATTTTGTGGTACCAACAGAAGAACTTATAAGATTACTTTGCATTAAAATATAGTTTAGAAACAAATCAAAATCAAGTTTGTATCTATTATTTACAGCGAGAACTCCAGATGCATGCATTGGCAGTGTTTATTGCTGTCGTGAAATGTTTGGTATTTACAGTTTTTCTTTGTAACTCAGCAGATGGAGGAGCTGATGAAGTGGGAGAGAAAGACGTTGAAATCAACAAAGCCGTACAGACAAACAAAGACAGAGAGATTATTGTCTATTCAGATCCTGCATACTTACAACCAAGGCTCCTGCCTGCGCTTCACAAACCATGCAACAAACAATATCACAACTTGATGTAGATATGCGGAGAGTAAACAGTGTGTGGGGGGGGGGGGGGGGGATGCAAAACAAGACAAAGACTGAAAGAGAGAAGTGAAGAGGGAGAAAGCCTGTGACAGTGTGTAGGTGGTTCATTATCGTCATCATTTGGAGAGGCTTTTTGTTGACAACAAGGCCGACACTTGTCCTCCTCTCCTCCCCATCTGTCACTCTGACTGACACATCTTTAAATAACAGAAGCTCATTGGTCTGTGACTATCCATCTCAGCAGTTTTCTTTCTTCACGTCTCGACTTACCTCCCTTCTCCCATCCTCCCTTCCTGTGTTAATTTCCGTCTGTCTACCTTCATTTTCTATCTTCGTTTCCTACTGTCCTTCCATCCTTTCTCTTCTGTCTTACTTTCTTTCCCATCATCTGATTCTCGTTTTTCTCACTGTGTTTCCTTCTTCCTTCCATCCTTTATTCGTTTCCTTCTTTCCTCTCACTCTTCCCATTGTATATTCATTTTCTTCTGCTTAAATGTGTGCATTAAATGTTTGCATTTCTGTCCTAATTTAATTTAAATGTCATATCTTAAAGACACAACTTTGTATTTGTCTTTCAATTATGTAGCAGTCAGTTCCAGAGAAGTTTATTTCCACATGTCATTGCAGCTTATTACAGAGCATTTATTTCTCAAACTTTTCTAATTAAAACATTTTTTCCTTTAACGTCATTGGTAGAAAGTTGTGCGTGTGAAATAACGGGATCATTTCTGCAGCTTTGGCACGCTTTAAAACATGTCCACACCCACACACACCAATTTACTTATATGCCTGTTTGTATTTGTGTGGTCTACACACACACACACACACACACACACACACACACACACACACACACACACACACACACACACACACACACACACACACACACACACACACACACACACACACACACACACACACACACACACACACACACACACACACACACACACACCACACCACACACACACACACACACACACACACACACACACACACACACACACACACAATGCTGATAGAGATTTAAGTTAACTAATAGTGTTGCTGCTTTGCTTATTGCTGCCATACATCATATCACAACCTGCTCATTATAAAGACATACAGAGAGGGGAGGGAGAGACTATCTGCATTTTTTATTGCTAAGTCCAGCATTTCTCTGCCAGCTGTAGCTGCTTCTGTGTGTGTGTGTGTGTGTGTGTGTGTGTGTGTGTGTGTGTGTGTGTGTGTTTTTTTATTTGCTGCTTCATTTAGTGGTCTTCACTGGTGCAAAAGTCAATGGCTTGTGGGAAGAGATAAATAACGCTGCAGACCTAAATGCATAAACACGCGCACGCACGCACGCACGCACGCATGCACACACGCACACACACACACACACACACACACACACACACACACACACACACACACACACACACACACACACACACACAGACACCACACACACACACACACACACACACTTGTGTTTTCGTGGGTGTCCTCTGGTCATGACCATTCCCTTAACACAACAAAGTCATGTATGTGTTAAATGTTGGAAACACTCACAGCTGCCCAAAGGAAATGAGCTGTTTTGAGGAATGTAACCGTCTGCTCACAATGAATGTCCGAAATGTACCCAAATGGTTTAATAAAGCAAGTATGCATTAGAGTTAAACTGCTCTTAATTAGAGTTTAATTTACAATATGCCTCTTCATTTGTATCAGAGTGTAGGGGAAGGATTCTGTTTTGTTTTTTTGGTAACTGGGTGTGTGCTGTGTGGAGGTGTGTCTATGTAACCGGGTAAATGACATTACTTCTGCACCTTCTGATCATTACTTTTGCTTGTTAAGGGCAGGGGGATAGTTCAGGGGCACAATATTTATCACAATGTATCGCAATAATGATTATGTTTACAACTTGCCGCTTTGCTTTGCATTGAAATACAATTAATGGAGATTAATTCAACTTCAGACTACTACTTAGCCCTCTCAGTGGTTATGTTTGTGAACGGTCGCTACAACAATGTGTTTAGAATCTTACCTCTATGATCAGGTCGGGTTGGGAGGTGACTCTGATGGCCATTGGCTCTTGTTGGTCTGTAGTATAGGACACAGTGTAGACCAAACTCCCCCCATATGCTGAAATCTGAAGAAAGACACAGACAGATCAGTATGGACGCACATACGTGGATTAAAGTTACTCTACACATATTACTGGCTATGTTATGACATTATAAACTTGATCTACAGGTGGTGGTTATACACCAACAAAGGCAGGAATTTTGCAAAAACACCACTTGAAATATTCTGTTCATGTAAATAAATCATTCAGCATACAAAAGACTAATCAAGTAAAGAGTTGTATTCAATTAAGACCATGAAGTGGACTGATCGACCCGATTGAGTTGATATTATGTGGATATAAAAGTACCTACATTTTACGTTTTTTTAAAGGCATATGTAAATATTGTATGACTGTAGTAGTAGTGTGCTTACTTCTTAAACAGGAATACAGAAAAAAACAAAACAACTACAGCTGCTTCTTCAACTTATGATAGTTTTCCTAAAAATAGTTTCAAAATGTTTCAAAAGTAAAGAGAAAGAGATTATGCTACAATCTTTGTTGTCTTGTGTTTCCATGCAGTGTTTCTGTCGAGTCCACAGAATGAGCTTCAGCAGGAGAAACGCTGTGTCGGCATGATCCTGAAATTTATTATTCTGCTCCAACCTGAACAGTAATGGGTGGGAGAGCGAGATAATAATGCCACCATAAAAACAGAGAGAGGGGGACATCGAGGAAGAGGGGGGGGGAGAAATAGAGCCAGGGACTGAGAAGAAGAGAGGCAGAGATAGAGAGGGAGTAAGAGGTGGGCTTAATGCCTCGATAAACCTCTTCCATTCTACATGTACATCATTACCCTTGGTTCTTAAACCGGGAGGAGGAATCACCCATTTCACAGCTGACTGAAAATACACACACACATACACACCATAGTGGGCATGGAGGTGTACTTGGGTGGACGTTTTATTGACTAACACTTATTCTCCATCCAACCCCATTTGGTGATTTGGAGTCTATAAGGCAGTCAAATCATAGTTTACACCCTCACTACACGCCCCACACATATCGGACACTTTTCCTACTCATCCTTCTTTGGTCTCTGCATCCCAGTATGGACTCGCTTTATTCACACTTTAGTCCCCTAAACAGGAAAAAGGGTTTGTTCCATGGCAACACAACAGCCAACATGATGAAAGCAAAGGACACCAAAGAAAAATAAAAAGGTTTTACAGAGACTCGTCAGAGCTGAAGTATTTGAGAGAAAACATACTGTAGTGCATGGGTCGGCAACAGGCGGCCCGCGGGCCATTGTTGGCCCGCCAGCAATCATATTTGGCCCGTAATTTTGAGAATCAAAAATAAAAAAAATGTTTTTTTTTTTTTTTGTGTTTTTTTTTTACAACATAGGACCGACAGTCGCACATCGGAGTTTCCGTTAGCCGCCGATCGATCGGCCGCCGGTCATTATCGGCCGATATTCACTCTTAATAGTTTGATCGGTGCTCTCTATAAAGGCCGATCAGGAGAGCTGGATCTGATCGATATGGACATAAACGCGAGTGAAGTATAACCGGACCCGAGAGAGAGATCAGATCAGCTGCTGAGTCTGATGGAGACACGCAGCTCTGCATGATCACCCAACCCAGTCTCACGGCATTTCGTGTTCACCAACACGATTTTTAATCTATTGATTCGTGTTCCCCAACACGATTTGCCCTGAAGATCACCTGAAGCCCCGCCCACTGTTTAGCGAGCTGCATGAGAAACTGACGGGCTGTCAGGAGAGAGAGAGAGAGGGAGAGGGGAAAAGAGAGCATCCGTTTCTCCCGTGTTATTATTCAAAGTTAATGTAAACTTTTGAATAATGTACTTCATCTACTACAAGTAGTTTGTTTGAATGTAATAATTATGTTGTTTGTTGTTTGTGGAATCATTTATTGAAAAATGAATCTGAATTTTTTGATCTGTAACAATTATAAACTGAAGCAATATAAAAATGAGCCCCATTAACTGAGTTTTAAACATCAGCATATCCGGTCATAGTCCGGTGATTACCTGCTAACGGAAACTCTGCTACACAATTCTTATTATTATTATTGAAACATGACCGGTGAGTTTCAAATGTGTCCGGTAAAATAAATTCTGTCCCGACATATCCGCTTACATTCATAATGTCAGCGGAGGGAGGGGAAGCGGCGCTGTGGAAGAGCAGAGTGGCGAGGGAGAGCTGTCATCTTCCCTTTACAAGCTTCAAACATGTATTTATCGTGTGATTTTGGAAATAAAAATGTCATATTCTGAAAGCCAAGACTTTGTTTATTTAAAATCAAACAAAACACCCGATCCCCGAAAAACTATTTTTTTACGCAAATCCACATTTATTTTGAAATGAGCCATTGCGACTTTCGATTGATTTCGATAGAGCGGGTCACATATGGCAAATGTGTGGTTGGGGGGAACCAGGTCAATTAAAGTACTTATTTAACTATTAAATACATTGAGTTTGAGTAAAATACTTGGTTACTGATTAATGTAGGCTATAATATATGAAATTGCAAAGCAAAACTGCTGTAATTGATTTATTTTGTCCTTTGGTATTTTTTAAAGGTTTTCAACCTGAAAGAATCCTAATGTGTCCTTGAAAAGTTGAAATAAAGAAAAAGAAAAAGGATTCCAGTTGTCCCTCAAGCCTCTCAAATGTTGGCAAACACTCAAATAAATGCCAAAAACCCAGAGAACTTGACAATACTTATCAGAATAAAAGTATGTTAAATAACACTGCTAGTTACTTTACTCAGTGGAGACTCGTCCATTGAGGAAAGGGAGGACCATCCTCCCTACAATTTCAGAGAAAAATAGACTTTGAAGAGAACAATAAATACACCTCAATTTAAAAGATAAGTCTGTTAAAATACAGATAATAGCCCTGGCTTTGGGACTGAAATGGGGCTAGAGAGGACGAGCCTCCCTTTGGGCAGGTCTAGCCAGAGGCTCTGGATTGGGCGCCTATATCATCAGTGAACCAATCAGCGGATCTGACTGCGCATCAGAGTGTTGATGGGGAGGGTTATCAGCGATATCAGAGTTTTTTCTGAACCGGGAAACAGGGGCGCTGCGCCCTCTTACCAAAATCAATTCCTTGAATTAGGCTTTGATTATGTTCTGGCCCGCCATCTTGCGGCTCAGCAAAAAATTGGCCCACGGCCAAACTTACTTGCCTACCCCTGCTGTAGTGCATGACAGATATTGAGATAATGGACTGAAGCAAAGCCGTACATTTCACTTAATTCACACCTCAAACCAAATAATTGTATTTGAAAAAATGTATTGTAGGATAATAAATAAAAATAATAGATAGCTACACACCTTGAGTTTTGAAATTATAACTTTCATTTCATTTTGACACTTACATAACATATAACAATGTGTTGCAACTTCATCCAGGCAATTTCTGTACGTATCACTTAAAAATATTTGAAGCCGTACAATAGTTATTTTATTGAGAGCTAATGTGGCTTTTTGAGTTTGTCTCATCATGGTTTAATGTACTTATTGTAAGTTAAATGTAATTGTATATAATGTTTCTAGCAACCTGGTTGATCATCAACACCAACTCATGACAGAAATGTCTGGCTAAAACCTTTGTTCATCAGACTGTCCGTTTCTGTCCGTCTGCTGAATAATGCTGGGCTCAGGTTGAAGAGAGTGGTGAGACTCAGAAAGGTTATGGGCTGTAACTTTGCACAAAGTGGTTGTCTTTCAAATAATCAAAATAAAAAAACACCAAAAGGTTGCGGTCTATATGTGAGCAGTTTAACCAAATAGTTAGTTAGTTCCCTTCATTTGGACATTATTTATAGAGATAAATCTATCCTTGGTTTCACAAGAATGAAGCTAAGATATTTTGTTGTTGCAATTTTGTTCTTCTTTTTATCCACAAAACATCTCATGACCCTTGAGATTTGTCAGATGGACCTTCAGGATGGGAAGTCGTGGTTCAGGTCTGTAAGTGCTTCAGAGGTCTTGCATAAAACTGCATTGTAACTACTTAACGGCACAGAGAGTGAATGCTAAAAGAAAAGGCTTGGATGTGAATTATCAGGAACACTTTCCACCTTTCGGAGGGTTCACTATCCACTTAGCACGCCTAAGTTAGGCTATTTACTTCCTTTGAAATGATTGACATTTCCAAGAACATATAATTTGTCTGACACCACCCACTCCACCTGGATAATAGTCAAAGCTTTTGTCGTGGCAACCTTTAGCATTGGGGAATAGGAACTAAAAGAGATACAACACCGCAGAGAGAAAAGACCCAGAGAATAGCACAGCAGGAGAGGGAAATGACGGGAGAGGAGAGGGGAATTATGGGCAGTAGAAACGAAGGAACAATAAACACTCGGCCACACGGCTACACAAGACATCAGTGGGATCCTCCTGAGAGCATCATAAGCCTGTTATTAACTCTATCAATGGCCAGAATGAAAAGACCAAGATGTAATCCTCTCTGTTAAAACCCTAATCAAGTCCCCGACACAATCTTCATTAAAGTGAACATTTTGTGAGGGCCACGAGTAGATCAGTACATACAAGTCATTAGGCTTAATATTTGGTGGTACAAAACGGCAAAGTAATCCAATCTCACAGCAGATATAAAGAGAGAAACGAGAAAATATTGAACTAGATATGCTGTTAAAAGGATTCTGCTTTACAGGTCCTGCTGTAGTTACAGGTGTTTTGTATGCTGCAATGCAAATGTGCAAAGAAAAATCATTGAGCTACTGATAAAAGGCGCCCTATTATGCTCATTTTCAGGTTCCTATATGTACTGTGTGTCTCTACTGTGACATGTCTCCATGCTTTAAGGTTCAAAAAGCTCTTTATTTTTCTCATACTGCCTGTTTTCACCCTCTGTCTGAAACCAGAGCCCAGTCTGCTCTGATTGGTTAGCTGGCCGGCTCTGTTGTGATTGGTCAACAGCTTAGAGATTCCCCGCTCCTTAGCCTATCATGTACAATGTGTGGGAGCGCAAGCAAATAGAAGTGTTGTGTAGTGATGTCACGTTGTCGCGGAAGAAAACAAAC